CATCAATTACGACAAATCAACATTGTATTTCATCACAAATATGGGTTAAGAGCAGAAAGAGGCCCTAAAAGTTTTATTCAGGGTTCAAGCCACAGATAATATTGAGAAGTATCTTAGATTGCCATCGATGGTAGGGAAAAACAAAACAAGAGCTTTCAGGGAAATCAAAGAAATACTTAAATCAAAGATAAAAGGAAGAAGCAATAGATGCTTATCACATGGGGGAAAATAAGTCTTCATCAAGTTGGTATTACAAGCAGTTCCAACCTACGCAATGAATTGCTTTTTGCTACCAAGCAGATTATGCAAGGAGATAAATAGTATCATTGGTAGATACTAGTGGAGACAATGGACAAAAGAGAAAAGTGTTCACTAGGTCACTAAGACAAAATATGGCTTGGGCTTAAGAGAAATGGAATTTTTTAACAACGTGATGCACAAAAAACAAGGTTGGTAACTTATTGCCAAACCAGAAACATTAGTTAACAAAGTCCTTAAGGCTAGGTATTACCCGAATTCCACCTTCATGGAGTATCGGTTAGGGCATAACCCTTCGCTCACGTGAAGGAGCTTCTTGTAGCTAAAATGATATTACATAAAAAACTAAAATTGAAAGGAGGCAATGGGCAAAAAGTACAATATGAAAGGATAATTGGCTGCCAACTGCATAGCCATTCAAGGTGTAATCACAAAGAAGATATGAACAAGAATACACTATGGTCGCCTACCATATGGACCATCAAAGAAAATGCTAGAACAAAGACACCATCAAGAGCACTTTTTTTACGTAAGAGATAGAAATAATATGTTCAATCCCAATAAGCTTCCTTGGCAGTCCTGATATCCTAGTATGGCACCATGATAATAAAGGGGAATATGCGATGAGAAGCACATACAGACTTCTAATGGAAGAGGAGCAAAACACAGCGATGGAACAAATGCAAAATGACTCAACTGTGAGTTAGAGAAAATTATGGGAAGCAAAGACTCACCCCCAAAGTAAAGATGATGATATGGCAAGCATGCCAATAGGCCCTACCAATAAAATTAAACCTCAAAATGAGAGGGTTGAATGTTTCTACTGCATGCTTAAGGTGTGGCAAGGAGGACAAGTCAATGATCTATGCATGCATGCGATGCACATAAGCGTTAGGAGTTTGGAAGCATATTAGTCTATATCAGAGTGATTGAAGTAATTTTACTGGTGTTGTGGAATGGATAAAATAAGCATGTACCAATTTAAAGGATGGAAAGATGAAATTTTTTATGACTGTTATATGGGGATCTAGGGAGAGCGAAATAGAAAAAAGCATAGAGAGCAGAGGAAACCAACACCAATACTGGCAAACTTCATCCAACAATACAATGAAGAGTTCAACAAGCAACTGGTGAGAAAAGAATACCTACATATTGTTAGGGATCACTAGAGCTCTAATACCACTTGTTAGAGAAAAAACTCTAATCCAATCATACTAGCAAAAGTAAAATCAAATAATCAATCAATCACACAAAAAATAATAATTTAACGTGATTCGATCCAACCGATCTACGTCTACAAATGAAAAAAAATTTACTAACTGTAAAGAATTACAAACATACGACAAATTATATCAGTCACATCAATACTTATAGACACTCCCAATCTCTTCTAGTCCTATGAAGTATTCTTAACTCAAAAAAACACAAACTCATATACACTCATGCATCCATATGTATGTTTGGACCTTCTCAGTCTCTTTTAGTCCACTTACAAACATACACACCCATAAGACGTAAATCTTTAGTAGACTTATAGGGGTATCTATCCCATAAAACCTTACAACTCTCTTATATTTTTCTCATATCTAACCCCACTGAGACTTTACATATTTATAACCATACAAACTTATTTATTAAAAATTTCTTTTGTCTTATAATTCTTTTTCTGGAAGTCAAACTTACTTATTAAGAATTTTTTTTCTCTTAGAATTCTTCTTCTGCAAGTCTTCTTGTCCATCAAGGAATATCTAACCAATCTCAAATAAATATGTTATAGGATTTGAGTCACTATTCTTAAAAATCTTCACCTTAACTCAAATTTTATTAAATCATTTATCTTCATACTAAACATATTTGGCTCCATCTGTAATGAAAGTCTCACAATCATCTTTTCTTGTGTGTCTTCACACTTAATGCAAATTGATCTTCAAAATATGAACTCGAACTTTTTCATTGAATCGAGCTCTTTTGGACTTACCTCGTCTCATGGCTCAAACCTTAGCTCTTCCTACATCTCGAACCTTCAACTCTGATACCACTTGTTAGGGATCACCACAACTCTAATACCATTTGTTAAGCAAATATCCCCCATCCAATCACATCAGCGAAAGTGGAATCAAACAATCAATCAATCATACAAGAGATAATAATTTAATGTAGTTTGATCCAACTGACCTACATACACGGATGCAAAAAAAAATTTACTAGTTGTAGAGAATTACATACATACAACAAATCATATCAACCACATCAATACCTATAGATACTTTCAATCTCCTCTAGTCCTATTGAGTACTCTCAACTCAAACAAATACAAACCTATATACATTCATGCACCCATATCTATGTAAACTCTTTCAATCTCTTTTAATCCACTCACAAACATACACATCCATAAGACGTAAATCTCTAATAGTATTATGAGTGGTGTATGCCATAAAACCCTACAACTCTCTTATATTTTTTCTTATACTTAACCCTACAAAGACTTTACTTATTTATAACCATACAAATTTACCTATTAAAAATCTCTTTCCTTTTAGAATTTTTCTTTTGCAAATCAAACTTACCTATTAAAAATATATTTTTCTCTTAAAATTCTTCTTCTACAAATTTTTTTATCCTTCAAACAAAATCTAATCAAACTTAAATAAATTTATTATAAGATTTGAGTCATTATCCCTGACACATATCCCCACAACATTGGATTCAATCGGAAGAAGGGCCATGAAAGTTAATTTCGATGGCTCGTTTTGCGAGAAGGATCAAACAGGAGCATAGGAATTATTATTAGAGACCACTAGGGTGAGCCTCTTGAAATAGCAGTTGTTTGATTAAGTGATGTCAATAGCCCATTTCAAACAGAAGCCATCACAGTAATGAAAGCTATAAAGTTTGCACAGGACGTGAGTTTTGCAAAGGTATGATTGGAATGAGACTGTTTGACAGTGATTAAAAAGCTGCAAACATATTAAAAATTTATCAAACATATTAAAAAAATAAAATTATTAAAAGTTTTAATTTTTAATGATTTAAAACTTTCCAATATTTTAGGGAGCACAAATTGGGAAGAAGGAATGTAGTTAGGAAAGAGAAATCTAACGTGCAACTTTAAGCGTTATAGTGTGTACATGATAGTTATTTGATTAAATTTTATTTTTAAATTTTGAATGAAATAGTTTTTAGATACTTGTTTTTTAAATTTTAATTAATTAAAATATATAAAACTTAAAACTTAAAAATTTTGTATCAATAAAAAAACCAATACGTAACAATTTCATCGAAACAAAAATATAATTTTGCAGATTTGGATGAAGCCATGCTGATGAAAGGCAAGGCTATGTCTTGGAAATAAAAAAATGTTAATCCGTTGAGACTGGGCTATAAGTTAACAAACTTTTTAAGGAACAATTCGTGCGAACATATTTGATTTTTTTTAATTTATTTTTACTTATTAAATTAAACAAATGTTTTTGCAAAACAATTAAAATTTGATTAATAAACAAACCCATCTCAGACAAATTGTATTTAATTTATTTATATTTACAAATAAATTTTATTTATAATTCATTTATAAAATCATTTATAGATCAATTAAAAGTTACTTTCTAACTCAGTTTACCATTCGATAATAATAAAATATATTATAATTATATTTTTCTTTCAAAATAAAATATATTGTTTTATAATTAAAATAATTTTATTTTTATATGGTATATTTTATTTTGAAATTTTATTTTATGCACAATTGATAACACTTTTAATCAAGTTATGTTAATTACTTATTCTATCAATTTTGTCTCAAATATATGTTTTCCCTAACATGACATATAATAAAGATTTAGATAAACTTCTTTAATGATATTCGTAAGATTTCTTATTAAAAATTGTTAAATAAATATTAAAATCAAAAATAAAAATTAATAAATTAAAAGGATTTTTTTATATAAATTTAGTGTGTAAGAAAAATTTAATAAATTTTAATATATTCTTTACATAAATATTTTTAGTAAAAATATTTACGAAATTTTTATCATTAAAAAAATATAAATTAAATTTAAATTATAAATAATATTTTAATAATATTTTTTATATTTTATATTTTTTATTAAACTCTATTAATATATCAATTTAAAATTTTTATTAAATATTTTTTAGAAAAATTTCACAAATTTCATATAAAATTTTAATATATATTTTCTCCTACTCAATTATATGACATGTCAAGGAATACAATTAGTTGGGACAAAAATGATGGAACCCATATTACTTCTCTTTTTAGACTCTATTAGAAGGGTTAAAATATTACCACATAACTTTTTAAAATATATTAAAAATAAAAAAACTAATATAATTACATAACACATTACAAATGATAAATCAAATAATCATTAACTTATACAAGTAGTATCCATGCTACTATAAGTTTTTTTTCCTAATTAAACTTGAAAACACAGTCAAAGATAAAAAGTCAATAGAATAATTACTTTGAGCAAAAAAGGAGAATTTAAAAATCAAATAGTTTTATTGTAAAAATATACAAATAAAGATGCATGTATTTTTTACAAATAAAGAAACTAACATCTTTTTTTAACGCATTATTGTTTTTCAAAACAAGATTTGGTTTTTTAAAAATATATACACATAGATGGTAGCGGCGATTAAAAGGTGAAGAAGAGCATAAAGGGCAAACGCACAGAAAAGTATGTAAAATTTAATTAAGAAGAGAAAGGAAACATTACAGAGAAGGGAACCAGTAAAGAGGGGGACCGTTAGTGGAAGCATCCCAGTGGGCATAGACAGAGTAGTAGACAAGTTGGTGGAGTGAATGCGGATGGCAAGGCTTTAGCACTCTCCTACCCACCACCTCTCTCCACACTTCTCTTCCCAATAATTTTCCGCTTGCTTTCGCTTTTGAAATTGCCTCTTTTATGACTTGATGGATCTCTTTGGCCTCCTCCATGCTTAATCCTCCGCCTGCCCTACACAAATCTTCGATGCCCACTTCGTCTATCCTGTTTGCCATCAGTCGCTTTCTCTCTCTCTCTCTCCCCCTTAAGACTGGCCGCTAGCTCTCTGTCTCGTCCTTTTCGCTCTCTCCGTATCACATATCATAATTATAATATGGTAGCCGTGCAGAAGGCAGAAAAAATAGGTGATTGAGGGTAGGTAAGGTGAGAGAAGTAGGTAGACACAGCCGAGAAAAGAAAGGAGGTTGAGCCACGTGATGGATGCATTTTGTTGCATTTTTCTGCCTCCCCATTCTTTATTTTTACTTTCCTTTTATAGTAAATTAAGAATTCAGAATCCTGAATTTAATATCAAGTTTTTTAATCCCATGAGAAAAGTCTCCATCGATTAACGAGACAGATCTGCAAATACTACTTTTGAAAGTCAAATGATATTTTGATGCTTTTTTCTATTTTTTTCATTTGATTTTATTTAAAAATGTTAAAGTAATTTTTTAATTTAATATAAAATAAATAAATTTTATTTTGATTTTTATTATTATATATAAAATAATTAATCAATTTTATTACTATATAATAAACTAACAAATAAATAAATTTAATTTTATTAATTATTATTAATTTCTATTATAATACCTTCAATAATAATTTTTAATTATAATTCACTTTAATATCACCACTATTTTTATATCCAAACACATATCTAACCATTTATTTTAATCACATTATTATAATAATCAATCATACCTCTATCATAATTTTTAATCTTACTAAAATCAATTTTATCATACATCTAAATGGATTCGTAATCAATATTTTTAATAATTATTTTTTTATTATAATTCACTTCATTACCATCACTATATTTACATCTAAACGCATATCTTTATCATTAATTTTTATCTCACAGTTGTAAACCTAATCTTATTTTTGTTAACCTTGAATTGATAAAGTATTTTGAAATGACAAAATAAAAATTTGCTTGAAATGATTTAAACTTAATTTAAATAGTTTTCTAGCTTTTTTATTCAGTAAAAAATGTGTTCAATTCATTTGATATGGTTTAAAAATAAAATTGACCAAAATTGCATATAAGGGATTAATCCCTTTCTCAAGGGGATTGATTGATTTTATTTTTTTTTACCAGAAAGGTGTCTTGTAAAATTTTCATAAAAACCAATCGATCCCTCTTTGTATAGATCGATTGGTTCAAGTTTTCAAAGATATGATCGATCCCTTTTTATTTATGGATCAATTGGTTTTTAATCAAAATGAAAATTTGGTTCCAAAACATGAAAAGGGATTGATCACCCAAACTAGGGGATCGCTCACTTGAAAAAGGGATTGATTGATACCATTTATGGATAGATTGTTTATGTCTTTTCACGTAAAAAAATTGTTTGTATTTTAACTAACCCAATCGATCCATATATGAGGGGATTGATCCCCCCGTGCCCAAAATGCATGCAACAACTATTTTTGTCTGAAATTTTGCAGAACCTCTAAACAATTAATGCAAGTAATGGCTATTTTCCACTCTCTACATATAAATAAAGGTCTCCCACCATATTCGAAACTATCAAGAGGAAAGCAAATATATTGCTTTCATCTACCATCTTCTTCAAGCATTAAAGAGCATTTTGTTGTGTGAAAAGTGTAGAAATTCTTCTTATATTTGTTTCTCTCTTAATATTCTTCTTAATTTTGATTTATACTGCAAATTAGCAAACACCCAACCCTAAAGAATTCTTTAAGTTTGCAAAACACTTCAAAACTTGTATTGTGAAGTTGTGAGCTTAAAAGGGAAGATAACCCTTAAGAGATTGTATTGTTGATTATATAAAGCTTTAAGGAGCTAGGCATTCAACATATAGTGGATTGGACTCCTTGGCAAGTGAGGCTAAAGAAGAGAATGTAGGTACCTAAAAAAATGGTCGAATCTTCATAAATTTTGATTGTTGATTCTGTATCTTTCTGCTTTTAAGATTTTTTAATATATTCATATTTGTTGTCTTTAATTGCTTGAAAATTTTGATTTATGAATTTTGTGCTTATTGGATATTAAATTTGAAAAATTTATAATCAACCAATTCATCCTGTCTTAGTTTAATTCAAGTATTTGAGCTAAACAATTGGTATCAAAGCTAGTACTCTATTTTGTAGGTTTAAACAACCTAAAAATGATTCTGAAAATGGCTTAAAAAAGTATGGTGATGAATATGGAGCAACCATCCTCAAGCTACAATAAATATGGTGGGTAATAAGAAGTGTGTTCATGGTCGATGAAATGGTTGCTACATCTTTTAAAGGTGAAGGCCATTTCATTGTAAGACATCCTATTTTTGTTGGTGATAGCTATTCATATTGAAAGACTATGATAAGATTATCCATTTAAGCCAATGACTAAAAAGTTTGGAGGGTTATTGTCAATAGTCTTTAAATCCCAATGAAGAAGGTGGATGATAGAGATGTGGCTAAGCAAGAAAGTAAATAAGATGCTAATAATATGAAGATGGCTCAACTCAATGCCAAGACAATGCATACACTCTTTTATACATTATGACCTAATAAGTAAAATAAAGTTTCCTTGTGTGAAAAAGCAAAAAAAATTTGAAACAAGTTAGCCGTCACTCATAAAAACATTAATCAAATGAAGGAGACCAAAATTGACATGCTTACTCATAATTATTAGCTATTCAAGATGAAATAAAAAAAAATCATTAGTAAAATGTCCAACTGTTTCACTGATATCATTAATGATTTGAAGGCTCTTGGAAAGACTTACTCAAATATGAAGATGGTGAAGAAAATCTTAAATAATTTATCAAAGAGTTGGAAAACTAAGGTGACTACCATTAAAAAGTCTAAAGATCCTCACACACTTTCTTTAAATAAATTCATGGGTTCTCTCTTTACCTATAAGATAAAGTTAAAAAGAGCATAAAAATCAATCAAAAAAAAGTGGTATTGCCTTTAAATTAACCTTTCAAAAAGATAAAGAAAAGTTTGAATGAGATAAAGTTGATGAAGATGAAGAAATAGCCATGTTTGCAAAAAAGTTCAAGAAGTTCTTGAAGATAAACCAATTTTTAAATAGAAAAAGATCATAAAGGGAAATGATCAAGGGAGAATCAAGTAAAAGAGAAAGGGATCAAGTTGTTTGCTATGAATGTAACAAACTGAGTCAATCAAATTTGATTGTCTTTTATGAAAAAAGCAAAATGCAACTAAGCCAAAGAAGAAAGCAATAATTGTAACATAGAGTGATAGTGACTTTTTCGATGATGAATCAAATGAGGAGAAAGTAACCAATCTATGTCTCATAGCTCTTGATGAGCTCAGGCTAATTTTGAATCCAAATTATTTAAATACATACACATTTGATAAGTTATAAAATGCTTTTGATGAATTAATATAGAATTTAAAAGCATGAACATAAAGTATATAAAATGATTTCTAAGTTGAAAGTAAAAAATAAGCTCTCAACTAAAGCAAAAGAATGGCTTAAAAAAGGAAACTAAGCTTTTAAAATTGAATGTTGATGATTTAACTAAGAAAAATGAGAATTTACATAACTTATTTTTAAATTTTATATGGGACATTAAAAACTTAATGACATACGTGAAACATAAAAAGCATTTTTTGATAAAGATGGAATAGAGACAAAAAAACTCATTTGAAGAATTTTCTTATTAAGCCAAATGATTCATCAACATATGTACATATTGTCATAAATTAGGTCATTCTATAAAATATTTTTCCTTAAAAAGAGTCACTCATAGAAGTAAACTCATTAAGAGTAGGTGGATTCCAAAAATAGTTAGCATATCTTAATATGAGATTACTAGGATGAAGTGGATTTCAAAAAGTACAGGAATTATAAGTACTAACACTTAAGGACCCAAGAAAGTTTAGGTACCCAAACAAAATTTTGATTATGTTCTTATAGGTGGATGGGTATTGCTACAAGGTAAAATCAAACAAGAACAATCCATGGTACCTTGATAATGGATGCTCAAAGCACATGACCAGAGATAATGCTTAATTCAAGGATTTAAAAGGTAAAAATGAAGGAGATATTACAATTAAAGACAACTTTAAAGGCCAAATTGAAGGGATTGGCTCTATTATTAACATTTTTCTACTACTATTTAAAATGATTTACTTGCGAAAGGACTTAAGCTTAATTTACTTAGCATTAGTCAATTGTGTGATAAATGACTTAAAATTATATTTGAATCCATGTGTTGTCAAATGATTGATATCAAGATTAAGAAATTAGGTTTTATTAGACATTGTTAATGAAATGTTTTTATGGAGCATTTGGATGATCTCTCTTTTAAAAATATTTGTTTTATGGCTAAAAATGAAAATGAAAGTTGGATTTAGCATAAAAGACTTAGACATGCAAGTATGCATGTAATTTCAAAACTTTCTCAAAATGATTTAGTTGTTGGTTTGCCAAAATTTAAATATAAAAATGAAAAAGTTTGTGATGCATGTGCTAAAAAAAAAACATAGAAAAATCTCTTTCAAACATAAGAATTATATTTCAACTACTAGACCACTTCAACTATTTTATATTGATTTTTTAAGTTCTACCAGGACTATAAGCCTTGGTGAAAAATAATATGGGTTTGTTATTATTGATGATTTTACTAGATATATGTGGGCTCTTTTCTTGCATTCAAAGAATGAAGTTTTGGAAAATTTTATCATTTTTAGCCAACAATTGCAAAATGAAAAACATTATTCAATTTTTAGTATTAAAAGTGATCAAGAAAAAAAATTTGAAAATCTTGGCTTTAATGTGTTTTGTAGTGAAAATGATATTAGTCATAATTTTTTTGCTTTTAGAACTCCTCAACAAATAGGATAGTAGAAAAAAGAAATAGAACTTTAAAAGAAATGGCTTGAACCATGCTTTGTGAAAATAAGTTACCTAGATATTTTTGGGTGAAAGCCATAAATACTTCTTGTTATGTTATAAATAGAGCTATGATTAGGCCAATCTTGAAGAAAACTTCGTATGAACTTTTTAAAGGAAAAAAGCTTAACATAAGCTATTTTCATCCTTTTGGTTGCAAATGTTTTGGTTTGAACAATGAAAAAAATAATTTTAGAAAATTAGCTGCAAAAAATGATAAAGGCATTTTCCTATGATTTTCTTTGAATTCAAAAGCTTTTAAAGTCTTTAATAAAAAAATATTAGTTGTTGAAAAGTCTATACATGTTATCTTTGATAAATCTAACCCACCTT